CTCTCTCTCTCTCTCTCTCTCTCTCTCTCTCTCTCTCTCTCTCTCTCTCTCTCTCTCTCTCTCTCTCTACCTTGATTTGTGAATGCTATTATGTGACATCTGACTTTGGTGATTCAACCCTTCTGAGCCTGCTCGTCTGGTATACCTTGTCATTCCTGCCTTGGATTAACGTTTTAACCACCGCGCTATTCACGGGATGGTGGACACGTGACTTCTCTAGGTAAAAGAAAGCACGTGCGTTGTTATTTCTTTCAGCGCTAAGATACACGCATTCGCACCGGGTTACTTCCTTTCAATCACTCCGTGTCTTTCTCCTTCTTTCTTTCTTTCTTTCTTTATCTTCTTTTCGTTCTCTCCGTTTCTTTCTTTCTTTCCAACCCACTTCCGTAGTATCTATTTGATAGGCTCTCCAGTTTTATTACGGAGTATTTTTGTGAACTAACTGTCGTATTTTTGTTTGCGAGGTATTATCGGAGTTATGGTGGATGGTGGACAAGGAGGCGCACCGAATCGGAACTGTTACAACTGCGGTCTTTTTGGGCATTTTGCTCGATGGTGTCCCTTTCCGCACAACAACGTTTTTTTAGGTGCTCTAAGGAATGACGGATACGCGCAGGGTAACGGTGGTGGACAGCGTAACGACGGGTATGTGCAAGGTTGTCCAATATTACGGCCGACGTTGCCTCCGCCGCAGGCTCCAGCGCTGCAAGCGTCTTCTTCGARTGTACAACCTTCGATTTTGYAGGGCCCTGCTCCAGCTCCGGTGGGCTCCAACGCCATCGTCCCTTACCAACCTCCTCGTTTCAATGGGGGGAATGCTCCGCGGGGTTTGAATAATCGATTGCAACAGTCGAATGAGGGTGAGGCGATGCAGATCTTACAAGAGATGTGGAATGACCGGCGGGAAGAGAGAGAAAGGAGGCGGGAAGAAGAAGAACGTAGGCAGATCGAAGAACAGGCAAGGCAAGCACGGGAAGATGAGAAGAAAAAGCTAGAAGATGAAGAAAAGAGGGAAGCCGATCGTGAGGAACGATTGGCCCGAATCTTTCGAGAACAGATGGAGGCTATGGAAGCCAACAAAAGGAAGGATGGTACACCTGACGCTAGCAAGACGAGTTGGAAGAAGGTTGATCCGGCCACAAAGGAGGGTGAAGCAAGCAAAATGGGTGAAGGGAGTGAAAACAGGAAGCGCAACCAAGATGCTATGGCCAGCAATGCGAATACCTCTCAACAGCAAGGTAGTGGGASGCCGAGGGTCGTGAATGAAGTGACCCCTCTCGATACTGGCCTGCTTAGAATGGATATCGACAGTGTTAGGAAAGCGCAAGATGCGCAARCAGGTATGTTCCAACAAATGTTAGGATGCCTTGAAACAATCAAGCAGCAAGGAGCTGCACTGGCTGCTCACGAGATCTCTCCCCAATTTCAGGCGTAAGCCGTACCTTCGATTCCCAACCCACCTGCTGCCGCTTCCAGCGGTCCTGCTCCAGCCTACCACCCTCCTCCAGTCCCCCCACCTCCTATCCCCACCCAGCCAACAGCCTCACACCCAACCGCTTCCCAAGCTCCCCCTCCCTCCCCTCCTCCTCCTCCTGCAGCCCCCGAGACTCCTATCCCCACTACCACTCCATCAAATCCTCCCCCGCCTGCCCCTACTAGGCGAACGGCAGCGATTGAACCTGGTCCCTCCAAGGTCCGAACAGACCAATCCGAGACTCCCTCCAACGGATTCTCAGCCAGGTTAGCAGGAATGTTTGCTTTTGTGGCTGGGAATGGCGGCAGAAGGCGTACGCCCGACATTACGATTCGAGATGAAACACCCTGACAAGAAATGGGGTTTTATCGAATTAACCACGGGAGGAAAGCAGTTGTCGCCGGCCCCGGTAAGAAAGGAAGAAAGAATTACGTCAAGGAGTTGACTAAAGTACCGTTCGAGAAAACTAAACACGAGCTCGAAGAGCTTTGTAAGAAGGACAAGATCAAGTACTTAAACAAGAAGATTACCAGTGCCGCACTTGCACGTCTGCGCGCTTTGGAGGCCTATGGGGAGTACGAGGATGAGGMRGAGCATGAAGACTCAGAGGAGGATAATCAAGAAGAGAATCTTTCTTAATGATCTGTTGACATCCGTTCCTCCTGGGCTACTCTTGAAAAGACTAGATTTGAGCGARAGAGGATTGSGTGGCATAGTAAGGAAGCAGCTGATCTGCACCAGTTAATGATCTTTTTTGTAGTATCTCTTGTTCTTTCTGATCACCTGCATTGGGGTGATAAGTTTGCTGATTTTTAAAAAGAATCTCTGGATAATAGGATCGATATATGCGGGTATGATGGACCTTGTGTGTACGTTCTTCTTTCTCCTTSGTATAAAGCATCCTATATAGGTTCTACATTACGATCTCTGAAGGTGAGATGGGTGGAGCATGTTAGAAGATCGTTACAATCTAAGGATGGCAGGAACCATAAGGTCAGAAAATGGTTTCAACGAGTGGATTGGTCTAGTTACGTCGCCATTCCGATTTCCCTTCCCCCTTAGGAAGAGATTCGTAGTGTAGATTTTGCACTCATTGCTAAGTGGTCACCGATATTAAACTCTATAAAAAAGAAGAGGTCCCCGTGCCGGAGGAAAGGTCGGAGGGAACGAATCGCCTTTCAGAAAGCGAAGGGCGGGTTTGTAAGGCACATGGGATGTTCGCCCGGTCTCCCTTCCAGTTCCCGATCCTTGGATCCCTCAGTCTCCTTCCTTCTCGATTGTTGATGTTTTAAATAAATTATATGATGATGGAAGTCTGCATGTTAATATTAAGTGCTCAAGCAGCGATTGGTTTTGTGATTCGTTTTATAAGTTGCGACGCCTGTTTGGATGGTCTATCAATGAAGTTGATGGATAGAAGAGGGTTATGCAGGAACTTAAATCGGATTGCTGTTCAGATGGTATGTTATGTGTTTTGAGGCTGCGGAGGAAGAGCAGCCTCCGTAACCTCAGACGTGATATTTTGGCTACACTACTGTAGGTTCCCCATACCAGGGTAGGGCTGTATAGGAATGGTTTGATGAATCTGGTCATGCTTTATAATAGCATTGATCTCTTTCATAGTCAGCGTTCTAGGACCATGATGTGTTTCATATTGAGAGGGAGATAAACTCCCTTCCCGTGTGCGATCTGAGTTCATACGTGGCAATCACGACCTTCCCCCACGTCGCTTTTTTGAGTTTCGTCGCATTTGCAAGGAGAAAAAAAAAATAAAAAAAATGGGAGAGGGAGATCAACCCCCTCCCCTAAGCAACCTCAGTTCATACATGGCAATTACGAACTTCCCCACATGCCTTTTTTTAGTTCCGCATTTTCCGCAATTACAAATCTGATACAAAACAACAGGGAGAGGGAGATCAACCCCCCTCCCTGTGCGATCACAGTTCAGACGTGCCGATTGTGACCCTTTCCCGCATGACATTTTGCAGTTTCGTTACATGTCATTTTCGTAATCCAAAAAAAAAATGAAAAAAAAAAGGGAGAGGGAGATAAACCCCCTTTCCGTGTGCGATCTAACTTCATACATGGCAATGACGACCTCCCCCCACATGGCTTTTTTGAGTTCCCTCGCACTTGCAAGGAGAAAAAAAAAAAGAAAAAAAAAATGGGAGAGGGAGATCAACCCCCTCCCCTATACGATCTCAGTTCATACATGGCTATCATGACCTTCCCCACATGCCGTTTTTCAGTTCCGCATTTTCCGCAATTACAAATCTGATACAAAACAAAAGGGAGAGGGAGATCGACCCCCCTCCCCGTGCGATCACAGTTCAGACATGCCGATTACGACCGTTTCCCGCGTGACATTTTGCAGTTTCGTTACATGCCATCTTCGTAATCCGAAAAAAAAAAACAAAAAAAAAGGGAGAGGGAGATAAACTCTCTTCCCGTGTGCGATATGACTTCATACATGGCAATGACGACCTTCCCCCACGTGGCTTTTTTGAGTTCCCTCGTATTTTTCAGGGAGAGGGAGATCGACCCCCCTCCCTGTGCGATCACAGTTCATACGTGCCGATTGTAACCGTTTCCCGCGTGGCATTTTCCAGTTTCGTTACATGCCATCTTCGTAATCCGAAAAAAAAATACAAAAAAAAAAAAAAGAGAGGGAAATAAACTCCCTTCCCGTGTGCGATCTGAGTTCATACATGGCAATGACGACCTTCCCCCACGTCGCTTTTTTGAGTTTCGTCGCATTTGCAAGGAAAAAAAAAAAAAAAAAAAAAAACGGGATAGGGAGATAAACTCCCTTCCCGTGTGCGATACGACTTCACATATGGCAATCACGAACTTCCCCCACGGGGCTTTTTTGAGTTCCCTCGCATTTGTAAGGAGAAAAAAAAAGAAAAAAAAAACGGGAGAGGGAGATCAACCCCCTCCCCTATGCGACCTCAGTTCATACATGGCAATCACGACCTTCCCCACATGCCTTTTTTCAGTTCCGCATTTTTCGCAATTACAAATTTGATACAAAACAAAAGGGAGAGGGAGATCAACCCCCTCCCCTATGCGATCTCAGTTCATACATGGCAATCACGACCTTCTCCACATGCCTTTTTCCAGTTCCCCATTTTTCGCAATTACAAATCTGATACAAAACAACAGGGAGAGGGAGATCAACCCCCTCCTTGTGCGATCACAGTTTAGACATGCCGATTGTGACCCTTTCCCGCGTGGCATTTTGCAGTTTCGTTACATGCCATCTTCGTAATCCGAAAAAAATCCGAAAATAAAAAAAGGGAGAGGGAGATAAACTCCCTTCCCGTGTGCAATCAGACTTCAAACATGGCAATGACGACCTTCCCCCACGTGGTTTTTTTGAGTTCCCTCGCATTAATAAGGAGAAAAAAAAAGAAAAAAAAATGGGAGATATGCGATCTCAGTTCATACATGGCAATCACGACCTTCCCCACATGCCGTTTTTCAGTTCCGCATTTTCCACAATTAAAAATCGGATACAAAACAAAAGGGAAAGGGAGATCGACCCCCCTCCCCGTGCGATCACAGTTCATACGTGCCGATTGCGACCGTTTCCTGCGTGGCATTTTGCAGTTTCGTTACATGCCATCTTCGTAATCCGAAAAAAAAAACGAAAAAAAAAAAAGAAGAGGGAGATAAACTCCCTTCCCTTGTGCGATCTGAGTTCATACATGGCAATCACGACCTTCCCCCACGTCGCTTTTTTGAGTTTCATCGCATTTGCAAGGAGAAAAAAAAAAGAAAAAAAAAACGGGATAGGGAGATGAACCCCCTCCCCTAAGCGACCTCAGTTCATACATGGCAATCACGACCTTCCCCACATGCATTTTTTTAGTTTCGTATTTTTTGCAATTACAAATCTGATACAAAACAACAGAGAGAGGGAGATCAACCCCCCTCCCTGTGCGATCACAGTTCAGACGTGCCGATTGTGACCCTTTCCCGCGTGGCATTTTGCAGTTTCGTTACATGGTATCTTCGTAATCCGAAAAAAAAAGGAAAAAAAAAAAGGGAGAGGGAGATAAACTCCCTTCCCGTGTGCGATCTAACTTCATACATGGCAATGACGACCTCCCCCCACGTGGCTTTTTGGAGTTCCCTCGCATTTGCAAGAAGAAAAAAAAAAGAAAAAAAAAAACGGGAGAGGGAGATCAACCCCCTCCCCTATACGATCTCAGTTCATACATGGCTATCACGACCTTCCCCACAWGCCGTTTTTCTGTTCCGCATTTTCCRCAATTACAAATCTGATACAAAACAAAAAGGAGAGGGAGATCGACCCCCCTCCCYGTGCGATCACAGTTCAGACGTGCCGATTGCGACCGTTTCCCACGYGGCATTTTGCAGTTTCRTTACATGCCATCTTCGTAATCCGAAAAGAAAAGGGAGASGGAGATAAACTCCMTTCCCGTGTGCGATCWGAGTTCATACATGGCAATCACGACCTTCCCCCACGTCGTTTTTTTGTGTTTCGTCGCATTTGCAAGGACAAACATAAAGAAAAAAAAACGGGAGAGGGAGATCAACC